TCACCAGGCTGAGGCGATTCCCTGCTCCCCCCCCCCCCCCCCCACTCACTCATGCTGCATGTCAAGCTGCTCCTTCAGCTCCTGCTTCTCAGCCTCCAGGCGCTTCACCTGCATCTCCTGGTCCATCACACTCCACTGCAGTTCTGAGATCCTCCCCTTTAACATGCTGATGGTCTGAAAGCAGAGTGTGGACATGAGAGCCACTCACTAAGCCCGAGGCCACGCACGAATGAAGGTGAGCCTTCCACATGGAAATGGCGGCGAAAGGAAGAGGCTGGCACCTACAACTGGGGCAGGTAACAGAGCCACCTCCTTCTTGGGAACATGCGCTTGGGCAGACGAGAGAGACTTCTTCACAAGGGTCCCACCCCTCAACCCTACACTCAAGAGCATCCCAGCCCAGAACCTGCCTCTTGCTTCCCACAAGCGGACAGAAGAGATCTGGGTCACAGCCCAGGCCTCCAGGAAAGCTGGTCCCAGTGAGGGGGCTTCAGGAGCAAAATCTGCTGCCAGCCAGGATGGGCCTGGCCTCTCAGGCCTGCTGCCCAGCAGCCTCTGTGACCGTCACCCCCTACTCACAATGTCCCTGCCCACCAGGCATCCATATATCCCCCACGTCATCATGCCAGTCTTCCCTCCACAACCTGGCTCTCATCATCACACTCTGCCTGGAATCCTTCCCTGAAGCACTCCCACACCACTACTCCAGCTGTTTGCTAAAGATGTAACCTACAGACAACAGCAAGGTACTCGCCAAGAAGCAGAACATGGGAGATGGAGGCTGTCCTTGAAACTAGGCTACAAAAGCCACACTGAGTGGAGGAGCTGAAAGAATGCCTGAAGACTACAAACTCCCAGGCCAGCAAGCTGGGCTATAACTGGCCAGGAGGGCCGTGCTGCTTGGAAGAGAAGGGCTCAGAGAGGAAAGCAATCCTGGGGAGGGAGTCTCAGAGCAAAGCCTCCATGACAGCGGGCCTACCTGACACCACTGCCACCCTTGGTTCTGACTGCATCTCACCAGGCAACCTTCTGCTGACCTTGTTCCCCACCCTCCACCATTTCCTAGGGGAGAGAGCACATCAGTCAAACCAACATGAAAAGCCAGACCACTTAAAAGTGTCGCTATAAATTAACACACAGAAATGCATGAGCCTGATGTCTACCCCAGGGAACCTACACATTGAGAGCAAGACAGTGGACCTGGCAAACACCCCAGTAAGCAACACCAGTATCCCCCATCTGGGGAGCTGGTTGGCCCTCTCTACAAACAAAGAGGCCACAGCACTCATTTCGCTGTCCCTGAGAACCCATGTCCAATCCAGGACCCACTGAAATGCATCACCACTATTCACCCCACACCACTCCGGGGAGGCTGACATGTGGGGAGAAAGGTCACTCCCCACACTCTATCAATCTGTACGTTTACTTTATCACAACAGTGAGGTATCTATCTGTGCATCAAAAAGGAAGAAAGGTACTAAAAATATACCTAGCAATGAACATATCCTTCAAGAGGTTGTACTGAGTTCAATAAATACACCCTGGGCACCAGGCACTATGCTGGATCCAGGGGACAAGACATCCTAGCCTTATAGAGGACAAATATTGTAGGGAAGTAAAGAGACGACTTAATAAGATAGTTTCATAGAGCAACAAGTACTATACACGTTGGGGCGGGCACTGTGGTGAGAGAATGCAGCAGAGGTGAGGGAGTTACAACTTTATACCAACTAACCAGGGACAGGTTCTCTGGGGAGGTGCCATTTAAGCTTAGATGTGAAAAATAAGAGCAGCATCATTCGCCGTGCTCTGTCCCAACTATCCAGGACCTTGCCCATTCTGGGCCCCATCAACACCCTCTTTGCTACTCCAGTAGTGAGGGTCTCACCCTTTTCTGAGCTTCACTGAGTGCTGTGCATGACTCACCCTCCTCCATGGAACTGAGGACCCCCATAGGCAGGAAGACAACGCCCCCACTACCACCACCACCGCCTCTGGCATAGATAGCCCAGAACACAGGACCCAGGACCCAGAGCACAGGAGAGCACAGGCAGGGCAGAAGTAGGCTTCTCTGGACACTGATCACGCCTCTTCTCCTGCCAACATTCACTTCAGAAGACAGATGTGACAACAACCTTAACGTGCTCCCCAGCGCTGCCAAGGCAAAAATAACCTGCAGCCTGCTTTCAAGGGTCTATCAAGTAGAGAAAACTGCGCAGAGATGGAATACCAATGATCCAATGCACCCTCTCTCCCTCCCCTAGCAGGTTTTCATCTGTTTCCTCTCAGCATCTGTGATCTTGAACGCCACAGAAAAGGGACAGGAAAGGTCAAAGGAGTCCAATTTCCACCAGTGCCAATGTTCAGGCTCTGTTTTTAAAATGTATACAACCTTCATTTGGACTACAGTTCACATATGCTCTGGTTTAAAGACATTCTCAGATGCCATCAGACACTAAAAGACCTTGCTGATAATCAAAGAAATGCAAATCTAGAGGTACCTACTTACATGTTCTGTGAAGGAAAAAAAAAAAGCATTTCCAGAAAATACCACCATCCATGACAGGGAAGGATACAGTGAGACTAGAATACTCGACAGTGGCTATTAGTACAATATAATAACTGGTAGCAACAGCCACAGAGATAACCATAACTGGGGACCTTATAACCCTACTCCTAGGTGTCTGCCCAAACAAAATAATTCACCAGAAGCCAAAAGGCTCTATGCATGATGCTACCTGCCATAGAAACACCAGGGGTATGTACGCCAAAGAACAAAACATTTGAAAATGACAAAAACTGGATTACTCAACCATCAAAATTCCTAATTGCAAAGACCAAAAAAAGTGCCCAACTTATTAACTGAAAACCATAAAATGCAAAATTAATATTTTTACTATGATTACAACTATGCAAAAAATGTAAGTGCACATATGGGAAGTACAATTAAAAAGTCAAAATATCATGGTGCCATAGTGGTAGAGTTTGGAGTACTTTCATTATTTTTCCTCGGAAAAATTCTAAAGGAGAGAGGGTAACCCCTTTGAGGCCCAGGCTGCCTTGATCCCCAGAAGAGGGCCCTATGCTCACCTCACCGGCTTCGGCCAGGCTGTCCTCCTTCTCCCGCAGCTTCTTGTTGGCAGCGTCCAGGCTCTGCTTACACAACCTGTTACGCTCCAGCTGCTCCTTCATCTTTTCCTCCGCCCCAGCCTCCCGCTCCTGTAGCTGCCGAATGCGTGACAGGAGCTCCTGGTTGCGGTCAACCTCGCGCTGTGAGGGCAAGAGTGAGATGCAGCCCCAAGGGAGAGTCAGAGCAGGGAGAACTCCTCTCTCAGGATAGCCACCGAGGCCCAGAGAAGAGCCAGCTGGGACCCATCAGCCAGTTCAGCAGCAGAACCAGGACAAGACCTGGGACCCCAATTCTAGCACCAGTCTCCTATCAAGGCAGCACAACGTCTTTCACTGGAAGAAGCCAGTACTCCTCAGAGGGCACTTGGCATGGATCACACCCAACCTGGCATGGATCACACCTGATCATGCTCAGTGATCATCTTTGCAGGGAGGAGATGGAGCACGGAAAACTGAAAATTTAGAATCAACCTTGGAAAGCAGCTGAGCTTTTGCAGCACCAGCAGATTTTGTCTAACTGCACTCAGGCCATCATTAAAATGAGTCAGCATTCCGCCAACGAACAGATGACTGGAGCAAAGACAGGTGGCATAGACATGAGGCTGCAGACACAAACAGTTTACGCTGCGCCCAAGTCTGCCACGAGTGCACATCATCTCACAGAAACCTTCATAGCCACCCATATTATTAACCTCAGGGAGGCTGTGTGACCTCTGGGCTGATAAGGAAGGGACAGAACTAAGAACCACACTCAGACCTCCTGACTGTAATGATCCATGGGGACTCTTCTCAGTATAATCACTGAGAAGGGACTACAGAGTAGGAGCCAGAATCCCTGGAGGTCAAGGCAGTGAGTCCTAGCCAAGTGGAGCCAGGCATTCTGGTGACTTCTCACCCTGCATTCATCAGGAAGCTGCCTGCACTAGCTCCCTTCAAGAACCACCAGGTATTTCCGGAGACTGTCTTTTTCAGAGTAAGTACTTATACCACCTTTATCCAGGACATCCCAGCCCAAAACAGAGGAAAGTTTTAATGAAAGTGCAAACAGGATTGTGCCTCCCTGAGGGAAGGCTGATCTACACCTCGAAGGGACTCAAGAGGACAGCAAGCTGCAAGCACAGCCTCAAAATAGCCAAGGGACCCCCCTGTGATACCAAATGAGAGCTTTGGTTAGTGCACCGTCAGGGCCAGAATGTAGCACCTCTACTGGCACTGTCATTCCAAGTGCAGATGGGGCAGTTCAGACAGGTCCTCAGACATCAGACCTCTAGGTCTCACCATCTCATAGGTATTTCCAGGTGGGAGGGCCAAGATTCCCACCCACCCACTGCCAAACTGGTAGTCCCAAAAAACCAGTGTAGTCTTGGAGTCCACAACTCCAAGGAACAATTGGAAAAGTATTGGTTCTGATGGTTCCTGGAGTCCCATTCAGCTGTGTCTGTGGGCAAGGACAGGCCTCTTGGGAGGTGGCTCAAGCTCAGCAAGGGCCCCAGATCTAAGCTCAGTCACCCCTGCATCAATGGATTTCCCCAAGACAGGACCTTCAAAGACCCAGCAATGACATGGAGCTCCAGGGCGGAGTCAGAACGGCCCTGCCCTTGAGGAACTCCGGACCCAGAGAAACTCCAACTCCACACCCTGTTCCTCTGGCCTGAGTGAGAGAGCTATGCCATCAGTATGACACTTCCTACATTCTGATGGCCCTGGTGCCACCACCCAACCCTAACAAAGGGCACTTTAGTTGGGAAGATTCCTGTGGCCTCTCTCTTCCCTTCCCACCAATTCCTCCAGGACTGTCCCTCTAGCACCAACCCAGGTAGTGAGCAACAGCCCCAGCTCACAGAGAAAGATCACTCTGAGCAGCAACAGGGCCAATCCCGAGGCAGCAGCATCTCAGCTTCAGGCCAAGTCTCTGGGCTTACAGAGCCCACACAACACACCAAAGCCAGGAATATGCACACCAGGTTCAAAGAAATCTTAACAGGCATCACACCCTGGAAGACATCAATTATTTTGGGGGGGACTAGGAAAGTATGTGAATATATCATGTAAGGCAAGAATGGGGTCAGACATCCATCCTCAGGGAATGGGCAGGGAAGCCAGAGACGTTGTGGTCCAATGCTCTGCTTGAATCTTGGCAGATTTGCACAACTGATGAGCACTTATTGAAAAACCCAGCAAAGAGCTGTTAGTCAAAGTGAAAGAAACAGAGGATTCAGGCACTAAGTGAAACCTCCTACCTTCCCTGAGTGGCAGGGGTAGTGCTCTCCCAGTTACCCTGGGTAAACCAGGAGCAAAATGAAGCAGCCACAGATACTGGGGCTCTTTGCTCAGAGGCCCTACAACCATCTCAGCAAGACCAGCATGGACGCTGGGGCCCTTATGTAACCCAATGACTTTCTGAGCCAGTTACCCATCACCACCTGGTATTTCTGCCAGATCTGCATTCCAATTCTTCCATAGGAAAGAGGAAACCAAGAGAGCCAGCAGAAGGACATCAGTTAGGAACACAGCTGCACCGAGCAGCAGACACAGTGAGGGGCCTCCTTCTGCAGTTATCCTCACTGCATGCCACCCTCCTCAGACACATCAAGCACAGCTGACACCTGGCCCATGTCATCTGGTTGCCTCAGGAGGAACGCCCTGGCAATCCCGACATGGAGCACCTCAGGCTTTCAGCTTCTTCCAGCCTGGTAGGTATGATACACAGCCCCCAGGCCTCCTAGGGCTGCCTCACCAGGCCGGCTGGACCCACCCTCACCCACCTGAACCCACCTCGTAGTTCCTGGCGCTGGTACTTGCCGCCCTCTCCAGCTCCACTCGAGCCCTCTTGTGACTCAGCTCCATCTGCATCTTCTCCCGCTCCACCTGGATGAGGTGAGACTTGGAACGGATCTGCTCTGCTCTTTCTTCCAACTGAGTGTGCCATAGCCAAAGAAAAACAGAATCCTCAGTAGCTGCACCAAACAAGGCACGTGGCTCAGTTCAACAGACACAGTCACCAAGTGCCCATTCCCTGCAAGTGCTAAGTAAGCCTTGGGAGTAGAAAGTAGACCACCACTGGATCCCTCTTTGGGAAGTGAGTGGGAGCAGCAAGCAAAGGGAGATTAAAAAAAAAAAAAAGAGTAAGAGGAAGATGTATTTTAAGATGACAGTGTGTATGCTTATTTTAGGAAAAAGGATATATTAGTTTTCTATTGCTATATAACAAATCACCACAAACTTAATAGCTTAAAACACCACCCATTTATTAGATTACAGTTATATAGGTCATAAGTCCAGATGCATGTGTCTGGGTTCTCTGATCAGGGTCTCCCAAGGCTAAACTCAATGCAGTTGGCTGGGATATGTTCTCATGTGGAGCTGAAGATCTTCTCGCAAGCTCACAGGTTTGGAGGACACTGCTGGCTGTTAGCCCAGGGCTGTTGTCAGCTCCTAGAGGCTGCATACATCCCTTGTCACATGGCCCTCTCCATTTTCAAAGCCAACCATGGTGAATCTCTCTCTTGTTGAATCCTTCTCCTGCTCTAAGTCCAACTTCTTTATCTCTGAATCCAGATTTAAAGGGCTCATGTCAGGCCCACCCAGGTAGTCTCCCTATCTTAATATCAACTGATTTGGGACCTTAATTATATTCCCACTGCCACAATACCTAGTCAATGTTGGGTTGAATAACTGGGAAAAGGTAGAGAAGGTAAGTGTGAACCAGGGGCCATTTTAGAAGTGTGACTACCACATGGCCGGCCCGGTGGCGCACTGGATAGTGCGCCGCTTGGGAAGCGCGGCGGCGCTCCCGTCCGAGGGTTCGGATCCCACATACAGACCGGCTCCCGCTCACTGGCTGAGCGAGGCGCGGGAGCAACACCGAGGCTTGCGATCCCGTTGCCGGTCCCCGGTCCGGTACGGGGGCAACACTGAGGGTTGCGATCCGTTGCCGGACACGGAAAAAAGACAAAAGACAAAAAAAAAAAAAAAAACCAAAAAACAAAGAAGTGTGACTACCACAGAGGGGTAGGTAAATTCAGGTGATTCAAGCCTTGGTGGGTGCCAGAAGACATGCCAAACAGCTTCACAGAGTCAGACTCTTCATGTGGGTAAAGCCTTGCAGTCCAGCAGCACAGCATCTCCTGTGCATTTAATAAACGTAGAATCTCAGGCTGCACCCCAGACTTATTGAATTAGAATCTTATTTTTAAGCACATTCTCAGGGGATTCACATGCACATTAAAGTCTGAGTAGCACTAAAGTAGAGTGGCAGTTCCCAACAGATGTGTCTGGAGACACTTCTGATTGTCACAGAAGTGGTAGTAGTGGTATGTGTTTGTTACTGGTATCTAGTGGGTAGAGGCCAGGGATGTTGATAAACATCCGACAATGCACAGGAAAGTCCAGCAAAACAAAGAATTATGCAGCTCAAATGTCAACAGTGCTGAGGCTGACAAAACCTGAGCTAGAGAAAAGGTATCTCCATCCCTCCCACCTACTTTCTTTGGTGGCCCAAGTCCACGCTTCCTTTATTTCTATTAAATTTTCCTCATTTCAATTCCCACCTGTTGATGTTTGGGGGTTCCTAAGTCTACCTCTACCCTTCAAACTCACCAACCTCCCCAGTCTCACTTGTATGTCTGCAGCCATATCTGCGCTTCTCCAGAGAAGGGTGGCTGGCACTCTACCTCCAGGAGGCGCAGACCTGATCTGTATCCCACACCTTCTTGGAACACTAACTATATGAGAGTACTTTAAAAAGTTTGTGGAAAAATTGAATTAAAAGACAATACAAATCTTTCCATGAACTTTTTGAAGTACCTTTGTATTGGAAAGAGAGTACTTTAAAGATAACCTTTATATTTAAATGAACACTAATGTATGACAGAGCAGACTGTATACACTTCCAACTAAAACAGGATCCTTAATCAGTTGAGGGAGCGGGGACTGGCAGGCAAGACATCCTGACCTCTCCCTCCAGATTCCCCAGACCTGCTGCATTCTAAGGTCCCTCTCCTGCCATTTTGGGGGGCCTGGATAGGAAGAGAAAGAACCGTGAGTGAAGTCCTGCAACAGGACATAAGCAAGGTCAGGACCCAAGGCAACTCTCACAGTCACTACTCTACTAACCATCTCAGGCAGACTTCAGCACTCAATTACCAATCCCCCAACAGAGGAAGCCCTTACAAGTGAGCACCGGGGACCTCCAAGGTCCAACTGGTATTCTAGATTCCTGTTGTTTTGACAGATAGGCCAAAAGTTCCCAGAGATTTGCATCAATAAAATTATAGCATTTTTTTAGGACCAGAATTGCCAACTTCTTATTTCACTAGTGATCAAAAACAACTGCCATCTAGGGCCGGCCCGGTGACGCACTGGATAGTGCGCCGCTTGGGAAGCACGGCGGCGCTCCCGCCCGAGGGTTCGGATCCCACATACAGACCGGTTCCCGCTCACTGGCTGAGCAAGGCGCGGGAGCAACACCGAGGGTTGCAATCCCGTTGCCGGTCCCGGTCCGGTACGGGGGCGACACTGAGGATTGCGATCCGTTGCCGGACACGGAAAAAGACAAAAAAAAAAAAAAAACAAAAAAACAACTGCCATCTATTACCACCATCACTTAATAAACAATTGTTTTCACACACACACACACACATACACACACACACACACACACACACAAGGATGCAAGACCTACTCTCACAATAGAGAAAAGCCCTTGCCAAGAAAGGGCAGTTAGCAATTTAGCACTCTAACAAGCACAGTAATTCAGTTATTCAACAAATGAACACATACAAACACATCGTTTGTTTTACCAAATGGTCCATGGGCCTCATCAGGGCTACAGAACACACACAGTGTGGAAAGAAAAGGAAGATGCAAGCAGAGACCAGGGAGGAGCCTGGTGCAGCCATCGCCGCAGTGACAGGGTCTAGGCACAGCCGGAGAGACCACTTCCCTACCTGGGGGACCCAGTTATCCCAGCCCCAACTGGGACTGAGCCCACAACTCTTCAGAGCCTGAAGTCCTTCAGCAGGCCTGACCCCTTTGCCACTGGGTCTATAGTGAGCATTCCCAAGAACTTGGAATGAAGTGAAATATGACTATAATCAGAGTAAAACTGTAAAAATCACCGCAAGATCTGCAAATGACCCTCCATAGTCTGACACCATGGAATACCCAGTCTGTCCACTAGCTGCCCTGGCTTTCTCTCCAGGCTGAGGGGGCACTGTGTTTACAACAAAGCCTTCCTGTGTTACACCCTGAACGGGACGGCATGCTGGCTGGACGATTCCAGTGCTCATGCTCCCAGACAGTTTGAGTTTTATCCCCAATTAAATGAACAAACTGGCTTTCTGATCCTACCATGAGTGTTTGTGAGTTCATTAGTGAGTGCACTGCTGAGCACCAGACCTACTCTTGGGGTGTTAACAAAGCAGACCTCTAAGCCAAGACAGTACAAGGCCAGACCCTGGCCTCTAGCTGTTGTCCCAGAATGATGAATGCCTACAATGACATCTGGAAGACAGCCAACTGGCCTCTAGGCTGAGCTACTACTGATCTGCCTCAACTATATGGAACTTGAATAGGCCCTACCTGAGCTCAAGTGTCTTTACCCAGAAACCCCCATCCTGGCATATGCCACTTACCTGCATGCTCTGCTGGTACTGCATCTGCAGAGAACCTGGGGCAGAGGTGGAAATATCCGGTCCAGATCCTCCCTCCACTCGCTGAGAAATGAAGTTGTTCAAAGACCTCAGAGTGGATAAGACAGTGGTGTTTTCCCCCAGGTCTTCCATGGCCACTTTCCTTCTGAGAGAAGACAGAGGAAGGGTCACAGCCAGCCTTTCCACACATTATCACCTGTCACAGTAAGAGATGCCTCTGGACAGGCTCCCACTCCCCTAGTCCACTCGAATTCACAGGCTAATCTTCTCTGGAAACACCCTCACAGACACACGCAAAAATAATGGTTTTTTCTAGGCATTCCTTAATCCAGTCAAGTTGACACCTAAAATTAACCATTACAAGCACTCACAAAAAATGTGGCCTCTGGGAATCAAAAACAAAGTGGCAATAAAAATGATGATGACCACAGAAATACTAATTATCACTATATATTAATATTGACATTAGTATTACTACTGTTTTCCACCAGGTCAAAAAGAAAGGTTTTTGAAATTTACCAAGCACCTAGACTTCTTGAGCCTCAGTTTCTTCATCTGTAAACTAATGATAGTAAAGCCCACTTTGCAAACCTGTTGAGGATTACCTTCAATGCCCATAAAAAGACTTCAAATAGTAGACGGTGCAACTGTTGCCACATACTTTGACTTGCACTCAGCTTGTAATTTTATATACAACAGCTCAATCTTCACAACAGGTTGGTGAATTAGGTCCTTTTACGCAGATTTTAAAGATGATGAAACTGGAGGCTTCAAAAAGTTACAGAACTGAGATTGGAACCTGGGTCTGTCTGACTCTAAAGGCAGCATGCATTCCACAAGCCAACATATGAAAGGGCTGAAGACAAACAGCAGCAAAGAACCTTGCATCCCCAAACCTGTCCTTATTATGGTCTCACACCAGGCCAGCCCACCAGCCAAAAGGTGTGGAACATCTCAGGCACATTTAACAGCCAAAACGTGTACACTCCTACAGGTGCATACTGCTGCTCCCATTAGGAAGAGTTGGCTCTCACTGATTCCCCCTAAGTATTATATTGAAAATACACTCTCCTACACATCCCCAAAAAAGGAAGAGAGGAATCTTAGGTTGCCTCTGAATCTCCCATTTAACAAGAACCTTGGCCTGGTGCAAGCAGAGTCCTTGTCTTCTCTGGCCATGGTTTCCACCCCTCTCATTCAAATCACAACGGAACAACAGATTGGAAGACAGGACAGTAGAGGATACAGGCCTGCAGGGCGGGAGACTCTAGAAGCCCAAACCCTTCCATTTGCCAAGATCAGACCAGGGCCACACTTCCCATAACATTATGGAAAATTTAGCCAATACATCCTCTTCTCAAGATGCCATGCCCAGGCCGGCCTGTGGCTCACTCGGGAGAGTGCGGTGCTGATAACACCAAGGCCACGGGTTCGGATCCTATATAGGGATGGCCGGTTTGCTCACTGGCTGAGCGTGGTGCTGACAACACCAAGCCAAGGGTTGAGATCCCCTTACCGGTCATCTTTAAAAAAAAAAAAAAAAAAAAAAGATGCCATTCCCTGTAAGAACTGATGCATTCAATAAACTAGAATGAAAAAAAACACCTACATTTTCAACCACCTGGCACTAGGCTGCTCCATAAAGCATGTGATAAGGCGCCAGCTCAAACTCCATCCTCTTTACCCAAGGGGCTCAAACCTTCCAGCCACTGAACTCCAACTGCTCTTAACAGAATCCCTGAGCTGGAACTGTCAGTCACAATCTCTGAGTTGACACTGCTTCTCAGCAACAGGGATGGTTTCGGAAACCTAAAGAAATGACCAAGATGCTCACCAATTTGCAATCCCACTTCACACCGCCCTGGTCACCATCATGTGGCCTGGTAAGTTTGCCACACACCTTTTCTGCTTTCTCCAAACTCAAACTAGCCATGAAAGGCAAGCTCCCACTTCACTAGCTACAAGCAGTGTGACTTTGGGCAGACAGCATTCTATCTCTGACAGCTGCTTTCCTCCATAGTAAAATGGAAGTGCGGTTGACCCTTGGATTGTGGGGGTCCACTCACATGTAGATTTTTTCAATAAATATATGTATGGTACTGTACATGCATTTCCTCTTCCTTCTGATTTTCTTAATATTTTCTCTTTTCTAGCTTACTTTATTGTAAGACTACAGTATACAACATGAGGGCACTTCAAAAAGTCCATGGAAAGATTCGTATTATCTTTTAATTCTATTTTTCCACGAGCTTTTCGAAACACTCTCATACACATAACATACAAAATATGTATTAATCCACTATATGACCGATAAGTCTTCCCGTCAACAGTAGGCTATTAGTAGTCGAGACTTTGAGGAGTCAAAACTTAACTCGCGGATTTTCGACCGCGCGGGGGGCAGCGCCCCTAACTCCCTCCTTGTTCAAGGGTCAACTGTAGCGACAACTACCACGCTTAGCTCCAGCGAAGAAATGCGGGCGGCAGAGCTCGGTCAACTCTGAAGGGCGGTGCTCCAGGAAGGAGCAGATGGCCCAAAGGAGCCGCTTCCCGAGAGCCGGGTCAGGGAGACAGAGGGGTAGGAAGCCCTGTCCTGTGGTCAGGACAGCGCCTGGCCTCGCGGACACCGGCCACCTCTGCTTTGCTGCAAGCTGGTCAGCTCCAGCTGCTCCTCCCGGAGGGAACGCCTCCTTCCACTGGATGCTCAGGGAAGCAGGGGCGCCGCGCCCACCCCAGGCCAGCGAGGAGCCGACGGACCGGAGATCCGGGGGGTCTCCAGGACGAGACGCCCCCGGGCAGACCCCAGGTCAGTGAGGGGCAGACAAGGGAGGAAGGGACAGAGACCTCCCCTGGAGGGAGGTGGAGGGCGAGAGGAGGGAAGAGAGAAGGGGGTCTCCAGACCGAAGCGCCGGCAGAGCCAGGCGAGGGCGGCTGAGGGCGCGGCTGGACCTCCGGAGTGGGCTGAGGGTAGCGGCCGCGCCCAGACCTCCGCGCCGGCGCCCAAGCGGGCGCCAACAGAGTACGCGGGGATCGTGAAGTCAGGAGAAGAGAGTAGCGCCCCTGCCCGTCCTCGGGGGGTAGACCCGTGACCCCGGCTGCCAGGCCCTCACCTCAGCCACCAGCCGCTCACCTCAGCCGCAGCCGCCAGCCGACGCCGCTCAGATCTCCCTCCGCGCCGCCCGCGCCCACCTATCGCGAGACTCACGCCTGCGCTCTCGCGAGACCTGGGTGGAAACCGGCCGTAAAGAATCGAGTAAGCGCATCGATCGGTCTCCGGTGCTCCGCGTCCGTACTCAGAGCCACCCACCCGCGGGAGACCACCCCACGGAAAGTACGAGAAGCCAAAGGCCGGACCCTGGCACAGTCGTGGTGCCCCTGCCCCGCGCAGGACGCTCTTCCACTAAGGCTATTGCCTCGCGCCGTAATGTGTGGAATAGCACCGCCCAACGGTGGCCTCTTCCCGACAAACTTTTTCATTCTTGATTCTTCCCCCAAATTTAATACCATTTGCTTGAATTAATACGTTTTTGGCTTTTCTCTGGGCCCACCGGAAGTGCAAAGTATTTATGCTACTAGGTAGTCTTCCCAATGTCTGCACGACCTCGGAGCGCGGTGCCCTTGACTGCGTGCCCTGTTCTCTACGGTGCTGCATCCTATAGGGTGAAGATTAGGTCAGTCCTGAATTATTATTATTTTTTTTTTTAAAAGATGACCGGTAAGGGGATCTTAACCCTTGACTTGGTGTTGTCAGCACCACGCTCAACCAGTGAGCGAACCGGCCATCCCTATGTGGGATCCGAACCTGGGGCCTTGGTGTTATCAGCACCGCACTCTCCCGAGTGAGCCACGGCCGGCCCAGTCCTGAATTATGGTAAACTTTGTCTATGCTTTAACGTGGATCCTTTCCCAAGAACAAAGTATGTGCCATCAGAAAATCCCTGAATTACAGCAACCTGTCTATCCTTTAACATGGAGGCTTCCCAAGAGTGCGTCTTACTCATTTTCAAATTCTCCTCCTCTCTTCCCTCCATTGCTCCAGCCCCTGGCTTTCCGCTAAGAAGATGCTGTTCCCAAGGTTCTGCGCTGACCTTTCCTCTTCCAGAGGACAAAAGATTTCCAAATTTGGGTGCCTGGGGAATCAAATGAGATGTGACAGGAATGTGGTTGAGGTAGGGCAGGAGATTCTCTGGACTTTACTTGATTGCAACCAAAAAGAAAATGAAAAGTAAAAATATCTGACCAGCAGCATACTTTGAGGAGCTGGACCAAGCCCTAGGACCATCATGGACATTCCTGGGCTTCTAGTCTTTCTCCCACTGGACCTTGGAATTTAAACATATTTACAGTCAATAATCTCTCTTCTTGAGGGATAAGTATGCCTCCAGGAAATGGCTTTGAAGAAACCAGTTGACGGTTTTAACAAAACACAATTTAAAAGTATGAAAATCCCTTAAAATAATGCAATCTATATTCTTTTATAAAGCTGCATTGGGTTCCTGGAAGAGTAAAAGAAAATAAATAAACACACCACATCACTGCTTGCTTTCACAATTACCTTTATGGTCTTGGGAGCCTGGAGTATTACAGCAATATCTATTTCCGACAAAAGCAAAGCACACCCACCCCGTGCATAAATTCATACCAAATGTCTTCCCTAATTGCTCTGGGAACTCCTGCTGCCTGAAGAATGGATACATTTCCAGATTATTCACCAGAGAAATGGAAATTAACCCCCAGATGGGAATATCTGATTTTTCTACTTTATATCCAGCCAAAATAACAACTGGAAACCTGGGTATTGTGTTGTTAAAGCAACAGTGGAAAACCTGTTTCTCTGTAATAGCCTAACAGTCTAAGACAGGGAAGTTACATAAAGGCCCATGTGGGTATATCCATTTCTGCCTCAGCGAATTTCTTTTTTTCCTTCCTCAGTCTGACTCTTCATCCTTCAATCTTTACTTATCTCCCTCTCCTGATAACTTTCACAAATTATGATATAGACGACTATTTTTTTTTTATCATTTTTCATGGTCTTTGAATATAGTTTTGTCCTGTCTTCTTGGTTTTTTTTTTTTTTTTTTAAAGAGTTTCCCCACTTATCCTGCTGCATCTCCCAGATCAGAGCTCGGCTCTCCCCAGCTACTCTTCAGGAAAGAGCTCAGGCTACATGTGTAGTTAAAAACAACCTAAGAACCCCTATGAAAATGGCAGAAGAAATGCTCACTGCTTCACAGCACACTTCCCTCTGTGGTATTTTGTGGCCAAGAGGTACACCTCTGATGATTCTTTCCTGCTGGCTTCAGGTTTTACAGTCCTCGTGCTCTGGAATTCCTCTGTCAGTCTCTTCTGTAACCGATGGCTTTGACTTCCAGCCCAGGTTTTACAAAGGAACGTTCCCCCCAGGTGCAGGATATCTGGGGCCATGTCCAGAAGGGTCAAGCACAGGCCGATGAGCTTGTCATGGTCAAGGTCCCGGATCCCTGTGGCATTGGGTGCCATGTCACTTAGAATTACATCTGCTCTCCCGCCAGGAAGCAGTTCTAGGATTCTCTGAAAGGTTCTTGGGTCAGTCACATCAGCAGGGCACAGAAAAGTTGCTCCTTCCAGGGGGAATATGTGAAGAAGATCTACCCCAAGCACGAAGCCAACAGGAGAGTTGGGATCTGAGGAAAAAATAGTGAATGCGTTCTTTATTTACACTCTGAATTCTTTCCACAAAAATAAATGCAACAAAATGATAAAAGTAAACATCAGGACCAAGGTAAAGAGCTAATGCACAAATGTGTGGGACACAGGCTTTTTCCCACTGTCTATACATCCTATAAAGACACGTGGTGGGGGACTGGTGGTCCTTCACTCTACATCTGAGGAAACTGTGGCCCAGGCAAGAAGTTACTGTCCTAAAGTCACACTGAGTGACAGGCAGACCTGGGGCATACCCCAGAACTTCTGATTCCAACTCTGATATAATTTCACTACCCAAGTTTCCTGCTCTGTGAAAGGGTTCTTATCTCTGTATGTCTTTTTGATAAACTAAAATAGAAAATGACATGCTAGTACATAAAGTGCCTCTGGATTAAATCAATAAGTCCATCTTCCAGCTCAATCCAATTCCTTTCACCGTGGAAACTATTGGAAACAAGCCAAGAGATGGGGGAAATGGACATACAACATGAGGTATAAAGATTGATTATCTTGCCCATATTTGAGTAATACTAGTTATAAAATAATACAGATGCCACTGTTTCACCTTACCTAAAACAAGACTTCCTGCCTACAACTGATGTCAGTCCCCCTCTCCTCACACTGTACCTACATTCAAAGCCCTCCCTTTTTAAGTCTGGTGCCCCATCTCTCTGTCAGTCCCCTACACTGAAGGTTGATAAGGGTTGATGAGTTAAGGGTACAGTCACAGTCTGCTTAATAAGAGGGCTGTTCCACTGGCAGGGACACGGGGGAATATAGGCAGGGAATGTATGTTTTACTTCTAGCTAAAAATTGGAAGTCCAGGTATTTTGAGAAGTATCTCATTTTTCAAAGGTGAAAACTCTCAATTTTCAGCCCAGCAAAGTGGGACACCTCACATGTCACTTTACACTCGAGGTTTCTTTAACATCTCCATGTATTACAACTTTAGAAGTTTCCACTGAAGCCAAATGGCTTTGGCTGCATTTTTGCAACTTCTGGGAAGAAAAGCACACTCAGATGACACACACGCTCTCTGCTTCTGTCACGTCTTCCAATAAGTCCAATGGGCCATTTTCCTGCCTCCTAAAGAGCAATTAGGGGAACAGGAACCACTAAAATCAGTTATTAAGAGTCTCAATGGTGATAGAGCCAATGGTGGGAAAAAGAACAGAAGTTTCTGACACAAATTCATTCATTTAGTCTGTAAATTTTTTTCTTTTTCTTTTCTTTTTTCTTTTTTTTTTTTTTTTTTGCAGCTGGATGGCATGGGAATCCAAACCCATGACCTTAAAGTTATAACACTGTGCTGTAACCAAGTGAGCTAACCTGAGTACATACATATATTTTTTAGCTAAAAAATAAAAATAAAAAAAGTGCTGTTCTAAAGCTCATGAGGGATCCCAGCCATAGGTATAGGCAGTGGCCACCCAACAAACCAGTCATGAGACAATGTCTGAACCCGGGGGACCAGCACACCCATGTCTAAACTTTCAGAAAGTCATTGGGCTGGCCCGGTGGCGCACTGCTACAGTGCGCCGCTTGGGAAGTGCGGCGGCGCTCCCGCCGAGGGTTCGGATCCCACATACAGACCGGCCGCTCACTGGCTGAGCGAGGAGCGGGGGCAACACCGAGGGTTGCGATCCCGTTGCCGGTCCTGGTCCGGTACAGGCGCGACACTGAGGGTTGTGATCCATTGCCGGTCACGAAAAAAGACAAAAAGACAAAAAAAAAAAAAAAAAGAAAGTCATTAAACTCCTCTATGCCTCAACTTTCTCACCAGGAAAATGGACACAAATATCCCTACTTTAAGGTATTTGGGAGAGCTTTTTGCAAAAAGCCAATGCAAACAGGTACCCTAAATTTATGGCAGGAAATATAAATGGCAAGGATATTCACCACAGATATTCACACATTGTATATACTAACAATAAAACCCAAACAACCTTGATGCGCAGAATTACGGAACTAGTTAAACAACCCACAGTACGACCATTATATGGAATACTATGCAGCTGTTTAAAATGATGACATAGCTTTTCTAAGTTGTATGAGTGGTTGATTTGCCTCTTTATTATTCAGGGAACCTTTTTATAAAGAAAAACTTAGTCAAAACCCTAAAATATAAGACAGATAAAAGCTGACTGCCTTGGGTTGACCAAGAGTGGAAAATTCAGATTCCCGGCCATGAAACCTTTCCTGAGGCCCTAGAGGTGGCAGCCCCTGGTGGACTACCATGAAACCATAGCACTTCAAGGACCAGGACTCAGAAACTTCTGGGCTTGATTCAGTTGTACAGTCACGGAAAGATGTCAATATAACATCTAGTGAAAAAAGCATGGAGGCCCCACCTGTGCCTGCAGCATTGACCCTCTGCACTGCCACCTGACTCCATGCCCCAGGAGCTGCCCCACAGTCCAATACCCGAAGGCCAGGCCGCAGAATCTGATGCTTCTTATTCATCTCCAGAAGCTTGAAGGCGCTTCGACACCGATAACTCTCTACCTTTGCAGCCTTCACAAAGGGGTCCTTTAAATGCCGCATTATCCACAGGTGCTCAGCACCTGTCCGACCCTTGTGGTGGCCCCCAGCAGTGTGGAACCTTTGACGCTGAAAGGAAGCACACACCCACTTCAAATACCTGGTGAGAGAAAAAGGGAACAAGTAGGTTGGCATCACATAGATCAGCAGGTCATGAGCATGGAGGGGCCCTTGGTTCAACCCACTCATTTTTAGAGATGGAGCACTGAGACCCAAGAGGGGAAGTGACTTGACAAGTCTATACAGCCAGAAAGCAGATGTCACAGGCTGTGTCCCCCAAAATTCATGTGTTGAAGTCCTAATCCCCAGTATCTCAGAATGTAACCATAATTAGAGATAAGGTCTTTATAGAGGTAATCAAGTTAAAACAAAGTCATTAGTTTGGGCACTAATCCAGTGTGACTGCTGCCCATATAAGGAAAGGAGATTAGGACACAGACACACATAGAGGGAAGACCATGTGAAGACACAGCGAGAAGATGGTCATCTACAAGCCAAGGACACAGGCCTCAGGACAAACCAATCCTGCCAAAACCTTGATCTCTGATTTCCAGCCTCCAAAACATAACGGAATAAATCTGTTGTTTAAGCCACCTGGTCTGTGGTACTTTTGTTATGGAAAGCCAAGCAAATTAATACAGTAGACATTTCTATCCTGTAATCAAGAAGTGTTTTTTTCTCCCTTGAAGGCTTCTTCAAAATGAAAATTCAAACATCAATGACAGTCACCTTGTTTATATCAACCAAAATTTTCCCAGTACTGGTTAACAGTACTGATAAAATTAATGAAAGTAATATTCTTTTCTCACCTGGCAAAAATTTTTATTGGGCTCTGAGAGACTGCAAGAAAACGCCATGAGGACAGACTCTTGCCTTCGTTACCTAGGACAATGGCTTCAGTGGCTAGAACAAGGCCTGTCCTGTCACATTTCTTAATAAAATTGAACTCAACCTGTATGAATGGTTAAAGGCCAATTTCCAAGATTCTTTTTAACAATTTAGGCTTTTAACAGTTTATCGGCCACCCACAAGAGCTGGGCAGGCCAGGAGCTGTACATACCTCCCCCCATTTAACTCTCAGAACAACCTTACAAAGTAAGTTCTATGTCCATTTTCCTAATTTTAAAAAATTTATTAACCTCAAGGCTACAAAGCCAAAGATCCTTCAATACCAAAGTGTGCTGACAAGATGTGAAGACAATAACTGGTGAATTATAAATCGCTGGCTTCAAATGGCTTAAAGGGGCTCACGGGAAAATGGCACAGACTGGTCCTAGGCACCAGAACCAATTCCAGCGGTTGGGGAGGGGATGGACAGTGGAATGGCACAGTCCGACAATCCCCTGAATCTGCCTGATTGGGCCACTGACCACTCCAGCCCTATCCCACACCCTGGATTCTAGCTTCATGGGCCTCTTGTTTCTCAGAAGCCCTGTGACACATCCTTCAGGGCTGCGATCCTGCACCTTCAATGCTTCCTCACCCGCCCACCTGCATCTTGCTAAATGTCTCTACCTGCAGCCCTCTCGCCCACCCACCTGCCTCTCTCCAAAGGTCTCTACCTGCAGCCTCTTCATCCGCCCACCTGCCTCTCTCTAACGGTCTTACAGCTCCCTGCCTTCTCCGGGAGCCTCCGGTGACCGAGCGCGGTGGTTTAAGGTGCTTCTCTAATTGCCCTCACTGTGTCTGCGCGCCCAGCATCACGTCCCGAATGCCAAGACGGAGGTGGGACCAGCACGCCCTTTTCGGATGAGGTCACTGGGGCCTCAACTACCCCCGCTTCCCCACATGCATGCAGCAGGTGCCCCATAAGTGCTTGCTGAGCGCACAGCTCCGCTCACCCAGCCATAGCTGCCCACCGCGCCTCCCGTCCGCGCTGCCGGAAGTGCCCGGCCTCACTTCCCGCCCTAAGCCCCGCCTCCGGAAGTGGAGCTCCGGTAAGGAAGGCGCGCGCTCGAGGTAGAACCCCGTGGGACCGTATAGCGGGGCCGGCTAGGGACCAGGCGAGCGGGTCTGCTGGGGGAACCAGAAGAGGGTGGCCACGGGAGACGGGCCCGGAAGAGACCAGGAGATCGGAGCAGAGGGGACCGGGGTGCGGCCCGCGCCGGGAGGGACCAGGGGATTGGGACCGGAGCGGAGGGGATCAGGGGAGGATGAGCCGTGGGCCTGGTGAGCTGGGCCAGGGGACCTGATGAGCGCGGGAGGGAGGAGCGGGGAACAGGGCCTAGTGGGCAGGAGTGGGGACCGGGTGTTCGGGATCCAGTATCAGTCATGGTCCCCTGGAGGGGGCGGCCGGGGAACCAGCATTTGCCAAGCGCCCAATGTATGTGGGTCTGAGCCCTGTGCTTTATGTATGTATATTGTCTCATTCAGCCCTAGTAAGGGACCTCAATTTACAGATGACCCAACTCAGGCCACCTGGCCAACAAGGGGGGCTGCCCAGCCCTGTTGCCAGCACCCTAGCCCCTAACATTAGGTAGTTCTGTGAAGACCCCTTCAATTGTACCACCTATTAACAGCTTCAGGAGCTGTGGGCGCAACTAGACTTTGGCATCCAGTAGACCCAGGTTTGATTACTGACTGGCTCTGCTATTTGAACTTGGGTCAAACAGCCTTTTTGAGCTTCAATTCTCTCCTCTGAAAATGGGGAAAGCAAGTCTTAACAATCATGTAGTTGTTGGATCTATGAAATAACTTTTTTTTTTTTTTTTTGGTGGTTGGCCGGTATGGGGAACTGAAAAATGGTACAATTTTTTAGAAGAGAAGTATATAGTCAGTGTTTAATAAATGACAGCTGACATTGCTGGTATGATTATCATCAAAGTTTACTCAGGAAGTCAGGGCTTTGGGCATGAACAGATCAGTGTCAGAACAAAGTACACAGGCCTCATGGGACGCTCAACCACATACCCACTTACTCTACCTGACCTACCCCCACCACCAGGACCCAGCCTCAGGTCCCTTTTCTCAGACTTCATAACTTCTGAGGAGGATGTCCTGAATCCTGCATCGTAGCCAAGTGTGGTTCCAGGTGGGATAGGGACAGAGCAATAGGAAATTTGGTCCTAGTCCTCCAGCATTTCTTTAGGGTCCTTTCTCAAGCAGGGACCCTAGCAAAGGCATCACCCTTAGAGTCTGTCTCTGGACTGTGCACACCTATTGGATTAGAAAGAGACCTTATAGCTTCCAGTGTCCTCTCTGGGTGCCAGGTCCCAAAGCAGCAACAGAAAGAGCAGAGAAGTGAAATGTGAACTCCTGTCACAGGAGGGAGGACCAACCAGGTCTCACTGGGCAGACCTACCCCTTTCTGGAATCATGCATTTCCTGGAAATCTGGAGGCCTACTACTGCAAATAGAGGCCAGATCTCAGTAGGGCGAAAGAAGCCCCTGTTAATGAAAAGGCCAAGGCCAAAGCCTGACATGAGAGCCATTGGATAAGCTTGTATTATCCTCTGTATCTAAGAGTGCTAAGGAGTGGGGAAAGGAAGATGAGGCCATCTTCTGACCTGCTGGATCAGCCCTGTCAAGCGAAGGGCTTGGCACTGATGCCACAGGGTTCTGAGGATCAGGCCTGTTTCTACACCAGAAAATTTGTTCAGCTGCAAGCTTCTACCTGCCACAAGGCAAGGCACAGGTGGTAAGGCCAGGCTTCCCTTCCCTGACTCCCAGAGCACAATTCCCTTCCACCTGGCCACTGGCCACCATAGCTCACATGCTTCATCTGCACCCATCCATGCCCTTGTCAAGGCTGACCTACTGTCTTGCCTTCCTCACAGAGCCCAAGGAGACCATGGGCGCCTCCAGGCTCTATACCTTGGTACTGATACTGCAACCTCAGCGAGTTCTGCTAGGCATGAAGAAACGAGGCTTTGGGGCTGGCCGGTGGAATGGCTTTGGGGGCAAAGTAGAAGAAGGAGAGACCATCGAGGATGGGGCCAAGAGGTAAGGAAGGGGTAGATCTGACCATGGAATCAGTATCTGCATGGGATAAGGATTCGGACTGTAGAGCCATACCCCTGATTTCATGTGACCTGGAGCATGTATGTAAGCCTTGAGCCTCAGTTTATTTATCTGAAAAATGGGAATAATAATAACAGTATCTACCTCTTAGGATTATCGTGAAGTTTAAATGAGAAAATGCATATAAAGAGCTTAGAATAGTGCCTGGCATGTGGTAAGTGCTGAATATTTTAACTGTTACTATGTGGTGTGTTAGTGGTTGTTTTTAATGTATTTGGGAAGCTGCTGTGCATTATGGCTTGAGTTGAACAGTCCTGGCTTCCTCACTTTGTGGCTGACGGGCTCATTAGTCACTTGGTTTATTCCTTTGTTCGGGAGAGCTGATCATCATTTTTATCCAAAACCTTTTGCAAACACAGTCTCACTTAATCCTCAACACAACTAGCTTCACAAGGGAAGGAACTGAAGCCCAGAGGTTGAGCAGCTTGCCCAAGATCAAGATCCCAGTCCTCCAGACACCAACCTCTGCCCTTCTTGCTCCTCACAGGCTTGCGAGGATAAATGAGCTTGTCTGTGCAAACATCTCGAAGCACAAACATTAGCTCCTGTTAATGTTATTCTTATCCTGAGAAATGATGGCAAACTCACGGCCACTTTCCCTGGAGAGGAGAACAAAACCACAGATACATACTAAAGAAGCTCCTGGGGAGGAGGAAAGCTAGGATGCTGCAGCCCAGTGGTTTCACTTTTTTTTATTACAACCCGCAGTAAGAAATGTTTTATACTCTAATGAAGTATACACACTCAGGTATACGTGTATAGCTAAAATAAGTTGCATGTATTGATACCCTTACTTCATGAAAGGATACTCTAATTTATTTATTTAATTGCTGATCGCAATCCACTAAGTTGATTCACAGTGCACGAGTGGGTAATAGCCCTAGGTTTGGAGAGCCCTATATGTGACATTCCTGGCATGTGTATCCCCTTGCAGGTGTGGATACCAAGGCTGCTGCCAAGCTGACACATTTTGGCCAAGCAGTGCACCTAGTACTGTGCTGGGAGGCCACCACTGGAGGAAAGACCATTTGTTAAGAGTTGGGCATCTAGCCTGTGACCATGTGGCGGGGCGGGGGGTTGGGGGGGCAAGTGCAGAAGCAACAGTGTGGAAAATGGACAGAAAGGGGCAGGCCCTAACTGTTCAACTGTCTTTGTTCTGCTGAGACCATCCACTAGGTAATTATTAGAGTTACATAGTGCTGCTCTGTGCCAGGCTCAGGGACACAGGGACAGGACACGACCCCTGCCCCTGCAGGCTCCCACCTAGTCTGGCTGCCAGGTTCAGGAGACGTGTACAGAAAGGAGCTCTGGTCCACACCCAGTTGTCTGGGGCATCCAGAACAAGGGGAGATGAATAACTGGGCACAGGGAGAACTCCCTAAGGATGTGACATTTGATACGATGGACCAGGGGGAGGTGGCAACGCGGCTTTCACAGAAGCCCAGAGGGCCGAAGGAGCATGGGCCATGTAGAGAAGTGTGGTGGAGGGTGAGGGGCAGGCAGGGAGGGCTGAGGCTGGATGGGAGGAGCTGCAGGTGGCTTGATTTCAGCTCCTCATCCTACAGGTGACAAGCAAACATGCAGGCCCGTCGGCAGTGCTGGTTTCTTACAAATTTCCTCAGGATCTAAGAGATTTTTCCTCCTGCTCACTATAGATACTATTCATTTCTTGAATGAGACATAAACATAAGAAACCATGACTCCAGGCTCTCAGTGCTTTTATAAGGGTGGTTTTCTCTCAGACCAGGGTCTGAGTTCGGGAGGGAAATGAAAGCAGAGAGCGGGAAGAGTGCAGTTTCTATCCTCAGATGGAACTTGAACCCATCCAGCATCCAGATGACCCCGCACCTGGACAGGTGCAGCAGCCTCCTGTCTGGTCTCCCAGCTGCCACCCTTTCCTTCTTCAGGCCACTCTCCACACAGCCACCAGGGGGCCTCTCCCAAACTGCTTCTGGGTCTCCCCAACCTCCAACCCACACACACTCACACTCACATTAAAACCATTTAAAAGCTCCCAATCCACTTAAAATAAACCCACCCTCCTGTGTCATCCACTGAGCCACATGGTCTGGCCTCACCTCTCTCTCCCCCACTGCCTGCCCCTCACTCACGACTCCCCTTCAGACCCCCCAAGCTGTTGCCCACCTCTCTCTTCCCAGCTCCTGGCCAACCTCTCAGCCTTCATGTCTAAGAAGGTGCCTTACCCTACCCACACTGTTCTCAGTAAATCCCATCCTGTTTATTTCCTTCACCGCACTCTCACCCTTTCTAATCATACTTGTTTGCTTCCCATCTGCCTTTCCCCAGAAGCACTCTGTGAGGCCAGGACTGAAAACGTTTTATAAATCAAGTTGGTTTCTTTTTTTTTTTGTCTTTTGTCTTTTTCCGTGTCCGGCAATGGATCGCAACCCTCACTGTTGCCCCCGTACCGGACCGGGGACCGGCAACGGGATTGCAACCCTCGGTGTTGCTCCCGTGCCTCGCTCAGCCAGTGAGCGGGAACCGGTCTGTATGTGGGATCCGAACCCTCGGGCGGGAGCGCCGCCGCACTTCCCAAGCGGCGCACTTATCCAGTGCGCCACCGGGCCGGCCCTGGTTTTTTTTTTTTGAAGTATAATGCACATATAGAAAATTGTATGAATTTCATCAATGAATTTTTAAGAAGTGGGTCCATCTATTTAACCAACGTGTATATCTTGTAGAAATGGAGGATGGACCCTGCCCTCCACAGAGCAGGGTCTCCACCCTGACTTCTGTCACAGTGGATGGTTCTGGCCTGTTCTAAAATATCACCAACATAGAATAACACAAGGTTAATAAAGTTTGGATGTGTTGTCCCCCCAAACTCATGCAGAAACCTGATCCCCAATGTGACAGTGTTGGAAGCTGTTTGAGTCATGGGGGCAGGTCCCTTGTGAATGGATTGATGCTCTCCCTGGGGAAAGAGGGGTAGTGAGTTTTCACTCTATTAGTTCCCGCGAGAGCAGGTTGTTTAAAAGACCCTGGCACCTCCTCTCCTCTCTCTCTCTCTCTTGCTTCCTCTTGCCATGTGATTTGCTTGTACTCACCAGCTGCCTGCCACTTTCCACCATGAGTAGAAGCAGCCTGAGGCCCATGCCAGATGCAGTTGTCCCCAAATCATAAGCCAAATAAACCTCTGTTCTTTATAAATTACCCAGTCTTAGGTATTTCTGTTATAGCAACTCAAATGGACTAATATAAGGTTGTACCCTTTTGTTGGCTTCTTTCCCACATTCCGTTTCCGTTTGCATGTAGCCGTAGTCACCTCCTCGTTGCCATGTAGTATTCCAGCATGTGGGTATACAGCAGCTTACCTGTTGTGCTGTGGATGGACACCTAGGGTGTTTGCAGTTTGGAGCTATTGCTACCAGAGCTACTGTGAACAGTCCTGTATGTGTCTTTTGGGGCCCATGTGTGCTCTTCCCTGGTAGATAGTTGCCTAGGAGGAAAACTGGAGATGTTCAGCTTTAGGAGATATTTCCAAACAGTTTTCCAGAGGAATTGAACTAATGAGGGTTGCAATCCGTTGCCGGACACGGAAAAAAGACAAAAGACAAAAAAAAAAAAAGAAAGAAACTCCCACTGGGGTGTATGAGCTTTGGTTCCTCTGAATCCTCAACACTTGGTATTTTCTGTCTTTTTTATTTTGGCCTCTCTGGTAGGTGTGGTGATATCTTATTGTAGTGTTTTTTTTGCCCTAGTGACTAATGAAGTTGAACACCTTTTCAATGTCAATGGGCCACTTGAATATAATTTCTTGTGAAGTATCTGCTCAAGTCTTTTTATTTGGTTGCTTTTTTTTTAAAAAAAAAAAAAAAAAAATTTTTTTTTTTTTGGGGTTTTTTTTTTTTTTTTTTTTTTTTTTTTTTTTTTTTTTTTTTTTTTGGTGGCTGGTGGGCACAGGGAACCAAACCCTTGACCTTAGTGTTACAAGGCCGTGCACTAACCAACTGAGCTAACCAGCCAGCCCCTGGGTTACCCCTGGGACTCTGTGGCGTGCCTTTTTACTCTTGATATTTTAACAGAAGTTTGTTATTTTAATGTAACCCCCAATTTTTTTTTTCTTTATGATTAGCATTTTTTTAACATCCTTTTAAAGAAATCTGCCTGCCTGGGGCCGGCCGGGTGGCGCACTGGATAGTGCGCCACTTGGGAAGCGCGGCGGCGCTCCCGCCCGAGGGTTCGGATGCCACATACAGACTGGTTCCCGCTCACTGGCTGAGCGAGGTGCGGGAGCAGCACCGAGGGTTGCAATCCCGTTGCCAGTCCCCGGTCCGGTGCGGGGGCAACACTGAGGGTTGCGATCCGTTGCCAGACACGGAAAAAGACAAAAGACAAAAAAATAAAAATAAAAATAAAAAAATAAAGAAATCTGCCTATCTCAAACTTAAGAAAATATTCTCCTAAGTTTTCTTCTAAAACTTTTATAAATGTTAGACCTAAAACCCATCTGGAATTGAGTTTTTGTGCATAATGTAAGGAATGGGGTTCAAGATTTTTTTTTCCCACTTAGATATATGTTTGGCACATTGTTTACTGAAAGACCAGGTTTTCCCCTGCACTGCAGTGTCACCTTTGTCATGGATAAATGACATGTGGCATGAAGCCACATCTGCTGCCTTTTCCACTGTTTATCCAGTACCTGCACAGGGAAGACCTCAGTAGGCATTAGGTGGGTGGATGGATAAGTGAATAAACTCAGCAAAGCTGGCGATGTTGTGACAGGCTCTGGGAGTCTCAGATGGGGAGACATGACCATCCCCATCACCCACAACCTCATTCTTTGTCCTGATCTCACTGCAGATCACAGAACAGTCATAAAAGCGATGACTTTTTGTTGTTCAGACTTATTCACTTAATTAGATCACTTGCTCACAGCTCTATTATAATGATCTCGATGGTCCTCTTAGAGACTCTGCTTTGCACTTTGGAGGCCTCCTGCCAGAGCTCCCTGGGCCTCACTGCAGGGCTGGGCTGGGGCTGGACAGGTCTGCAGGCCCGACTGCCCCAAGCTCCCTATTGATACCTCAGCATTTACAAGGGCATACCCTGCTCCTGGAGGCAGGTGCTCCCCCAGAAAAAAATCCTCTGCATGGCCACAGTGCATGAGTTGTTTCCACGCTTCACAGACTTGTGACAGGGACAGACCTCACCCTTGGATTGAGGTCGAAGTTCAGCACCAGGGCTATGTGCTGCCTACCTGATTTAGACCATCAGCCTTGTGGACTGCGTGGTGCCACACTGGCTGGTGAGCTCTGGGGAGCTTCTCTCTGAGCACCTCTCAGCCTGGAGTGTAGGATGCAGTCAAGGGTAGGGGTACCCTCTGACAAATTACTGTTGTGCCCCAGCCCCTGTTCCCTGAACACACACACACACACACACACACACACAAGTAATAGGACACAAACAGACGGCCGAGACTCAGGAGTCCCAGGGACTCCAGCAGCAGACAGCCTCGCTCACCTTGGGGACATCAGCCCCAGACACTAGGGCTGTCTCCAGCTTCCTTCTGAGCTGCTCCTTCATGTGCAACAGCCCCAGGACCTGGCTGCTCAGGAAAAGGCAGCAGAGAGGAGTTTCAGCAGGTCCGTCTCATGGGGAGCCTGGTACATGCTTTGTCCTGCCCTGTTCCCTCAGGAGGGCACCAGAGCCGGCCTTGACTCCCAGTGCAGAGCCAGTGCACATGCCCTCCACACTCACCTGCAGGGGGCAATGCGAGTGAGTGCTCATCCACTCCTCCACAGTGGATGGATGGGGGAAGCCTTTGGGTATATCTTAGGGCACCTCCTCCTCTGCCTCCTCCATGGGGTGCAGGCACTTGAGGACCTGGGGTTTGTGGGGCCCAGTGCATCAGAGCGTCAGGTTTGGGCTCTGGGTATAAGGTGTGAGCCAACCTTTCCAGCCAATGTCCCTGACAGCCCCCAAAGAGAACTGCTAATAACCAAGTCCTGGAGCCCCTGGAAGGTGATGTGAGAATGGGAACTGAAAGCGGGGCCACCATGGGGCCTTTCGCTCCCACCACCCCACACCATGGAGGAGTCGCTTACAGCTCCGTGTTTTTGTTTAGTTTATTACTCATCCTGTTCTCCATCTGCCGTCTGGGGAACTGAGCATCACAGTTACAATCAGACATTTCAGCAAAACTGTAAGTGTCATCTTAGTCTAATTATGCCAGCCTGTGAAATGGAATTTAGCTTAGTCACCGAGGAGATTACTGATATTTCAGACACTGCCATGTACTCAGGGAAGATTAACTAAAATTAGTCAAAACATTAAATCAGTAGGTGATATTTTTAAAAATGAAATCCACCAGCCTGCTGCCAGTGTTGGGTGAAGCCCTGCTGAGTGCTTCTATTATGTTTAATTGGGGAGCCATTTGCACCCCCACAAGTGAAAACACAATTTTTTTTAGGTCAACTCCAATTTTAATTAACCATCTCAATGAATAAATGCTCATGCCAGGCCTGTGTTTCTGAAATGGCAGCAGATGTGTTTCCTCTCCAGCTTTTACAGAGCTTATGCTGAGGAGGCATCCATCTGAATAAGACCATATAACCTAACATGCATATGTTTCTTAGATTAACAAAGTGGTTTCCCTGACTAGTTTTTACGGGCAGAGAATAATCATGCATTTTGTTCCTAACATAACTAGAGATCAAAGCAAAAAAAAAAAGTTTTTTTTACATACAACTATAAATGGTCAGACGTATTTCTTATAGAAACAAAAGTAAATATAGGGCAGTGAGGAAGTGAGAAGCCTCTCTAAAGGGAGGAAAAGGCAGAGTGTCACTGCTGTTGCAGCCTTGTGAGTCCCCAGAGTCTCGAGCACAGAGTAGGTCTTCTGGGAGGCATTTGCTGAGCTGAGGGACTGAGCGAGAATGAAGTGAGCACATGAGAAGCAATTTGCTCAGGTTGAGAAGCTGGTGGAACAAGGCGTACGCATCCTGGGGTTTTCCACCATAACCAGAAGTTGAATGTTTTTAATTCTTCCATAATACACAGCAGTTGAGAAACTGGCTGGATTCCTTGAGGTGTAGACCATCATGCATTCCTCTCTTGTTGAGTAAAAGCCACACAGTATAAAATATGTATAATATGGTTGTACTTTTTAAGGGGGTGTACAAAGGAGAAAGATCCAAAGGAAAAACACTGAAATGGTACCAAGGGTTCTTTTTATTATTATTATTTTAATCCCTATATAAAGATGACGGGTAAGGGGATCTTAACCCTTGACTTGGTGTTGTCAGCACCATGCTCTCCAAGTAAGCTAACCAGCCATCCCTATACAGGGATCCAAACCCGTGGCCTTGGTGTTATCAGCACCACACTCTCCCACGTGAGCCACAGGCCAGCCCTACCAAGGGTTCTTTTTATTATTATTATTAGTTTAATCCCTATATAAAGATGACGGGTAAGGGGATCTTAACCCTTGACTTGGTGTTGTCAGCACCATGCTCTCCAAGTAAGCTAACCAGCCATCCCTATACAGGGATCCAAACCCGTGGCCTTGGTGTTATCAGCACCACACTCTCCCACGTGAGCCACAGGCCAGCCCTACCAAGGGTTCTTTCTGAGTGATGAGCTCATGGTTGCTTTGTTTCCTAGATTGCCTACAAGGAATATGTAAATTGAAAAATATTTTTAAATTAGCAACAGCATTAGGCTATTAGGGGAAGCATTCTGGTTCTGTCTGTGGTGGATCAGAGGGCTGAGCCGCAACAGCCCTTGTGTGCCCAGCTCGTGAGCTCGGCCCCTTACGCCCTCCTCCAAGCACAGCAAGTAGCCCAAAGCATTTGTCCTGTGTGATCAACCCAAGGAGTTGGCTCAGTGGTGGAACCAAGGGTAAAACAAGAGCTCCTCCTTCAGGAAAGAGACCATCGAACCCTGTGACATGTTCTTAGAGAAAGGGCATGAGGCTAGAAAGACATTTCTTTGGGCAAACAGGCCCAAAGTACAGGGACCAGGTTCCCAGAGTAAGTGTCCTAGGGCTCAGGCATTCATACCACTGCCACTGTTGGCTACGAAGTTCAGCCACAGAAGAGCACATGGAACTGAGTCTGAAGAGTCAGTCCTAGCCCTGCCACCCATGTGTCATGAGACCACGGACAAGTGGGTGGACTCTGCTAGGCCTGGGTTGTCACCTGGTACATAGAGGGTGTTGAACTAGACTGTGCTCCCCAAACTGGCGGCTCCTCCCCACCTCCCGACCCCTCCCCAGAACCTCTGAACCAAAATCGAATTTCTTGAAAGTTCAAAATAATTCCAAAGTTCAGTCAGGCTGGGACCTACTAACGCATTCTAGCTGCTGTCCTCCTGGGTTTTCCAGCCATGCATGCCACTTCTGTGGCTCCCTTGGCACTTAGGCCCACGTAAATACTCTTCTCTCCTTCCTCCCAGAGCCTTTCTCAGGGTGTGTGTGGGTGTGGGTGCCGTGCTTTAACTGAAGGCCTCCTTCCTTCCATCTGTCCGTCTCCCTCTGCCCACAGGGAGCTGCAGGAGGAGAGTGGTCTGACCGTGGACACATTGCACAAGGTGGGCCAGATTGTGTTTGAATTCGTGGGTGACCCAGAGTTGATGGACGTGCACATCTTTTGTACCGACAGTGTCCAGGGGACACCTGTGGAGAGCGATGGTGAGTCTCAGGGGCCCTGCTGCCTACCACCCCGGAGAGAAGGAAAGCCTGGTGTCCTTGCCTGGCTAGGAGAAAGGCCGTCCACACACACCACATGTAAGCGCCAGGCACAAGGCCCCTTCCCCCCCTCACAGCGGCAGGCGTGCAGGCACCCCCCCTCACAGCGGCAGGCGTGCAGTCAGGGTGAGCAGCTGAGGCCCACGCAGCACAGCCACTCACCAGCCCATAAGTCTGAGCCCAAATTCCTACTCTAAAATAAACCCAGTCGTGAGGATTACATACAAAAGCATGGCAGGGTTCCTCACACTGTCATTCGGTTAATTCCTCACCAAAGGCCAGTTGAAATTTGGGTTGAACGTCAGTGCGCTTCTTTTTCATCCCTTGGTACAGAAATGCGCCCTCAGTGGTTCCAACTGGACCAAATCCCCTTCAGTGACATGTGGCCCGATGACAGCTACTGGTTCCCACTCCTGCTTCAGAAGAAGAAATTCCACGGGTACTTCAGGTTCCAGGGTCAGGATACCATCCTGGACTACACACTGCGTGAGGTGGACAGAGTCTAGCCGGAAGGCTGGGTGGGCCCCCAGGCTGGAGAACTGGCTGTTAAACAGCTCAAACTGTCGATTCATCTGGCTCACTGAGCCACAAATCAGGGATTATTTCTTATTTAGAATGTGATTGGATGAAAAGAAAATAAAGTCTTTTACCTTTTGTGTGTGTGTGTGTGTGTGTGACCGGTAAGGGGATCATAACCCTTGGCTTGGTGTTGCCTGCACCATGCTCAGCCAGTGAGCGCACCAGCCATCCCTATATAGGATCCGAACCCGCGGCCTCAGCGCCCCCAGCGCCGCTGTGCTCCCAGCACCGCACTCTCCCGAGTGAGCCACGGGGTCAGCCCAAGTCTTTTGCCTTTTAAATACTCTTCACCGGGCACCAGCACAACCAGCCCCATCTTGCCCACAAGAAGCTGCCACAGGCACTGGGCTATGACCTGCACTGATGGACAGAGGAGAGAGAGGAGAAGGTGCAGGGCTGTGGGGGAAAAGGGGACAGCATTTCTAACCATCCCTGTGGTAGGCAGCTGGTAAAGGAGAACTGGGTGTTTATTTGCCCAGCACTGCAGGCTCTGACAGTGTTTATTACAGTGAGGAGAAACTGAGGCACAGTCAAGGGCCCAGGGTTAAAACCCAGGTTCAGTGCATTAAAGGCTAGTTCCCTTCCCCTTCCCCAAGAGGATGGGGCCATTCTCTTCACTGTGGGGACCACTAAGAAGAAGGGGGAGATTCAAACCACCCATTACAAAGAACTTACAACTTGACCCAACTTTCACACGTGTTTAATAACAATTGTTCATGTAATAACAATTGTTCATGTAAATTTATTGATAAAAACTTCAGAATATAAACCATTTGTAAACAATTCCAGTTTATTGGGTGTAGTAGTAATTGATTCCTGCAGCCTTATAAAGTGCTTCATACATAAAACTGACTGATGCAAAGCAAGAGAAAGGCCTCAGGTACAAAGAACAGTCCTGACCTTAGTCAGCTGTTGAGTCCCACATGTCCCCACATCAGACCTTCTGAATTAACAGTCTTCCCTTCCCACACCGCCTCTTAGCCCAACCACTGGGAGGCATCTGTGCATTACCACAGAGTAAGCTACACACAGGCCAGGAGGATGTGAGGAAGATATTCCCCCTCACCCATGATCTACAAAGTCACCCTCCTAGTGGCTGCGCTGGTAGGCCAAGCTAAGGTGGCAGCTGAGCTCCCGCTCAGGCCTTCCCACATCTGTAGAATGGACTCTGAATGGCAGGCATGTCGCCCGTTAGGACCAAGCCTGGTGTCCTTCCCACCAGGCAAGGCAAGGCTGCTGTGGCACAGCTGGAGAGGTGTGTGGGGAGCCCCCTGCTGGGAGCAGACTCTCATCCGCCCACCCCATCTGATCCCTCCCCCCACCCCCCAGCTTGGGAAAGTGTACCAGCAGCCTAGGGCTAGGCCAAGAAATGTGCAGAAAAAGGAAGGTGGCCTCTGCTGTCCCCAGCTCCCCTCCCTCCCCAGTGGTCCCTACTGACCTTTACAAAGCACCTGGGGGTGAGAGAAGATGAACCATAAAGGAAGCTCCCATCTCAACAACCCCAGTGTCTGCTAGCCACAGGAAAAGGGCCCCATACCCACATCCAGGCTCCAGAAGCACAGGTGGCCACCCTCCCCCCACCCCCTCTCCTTACCCCTGCCCTCTTCTTTCCCCTCTTCCTCCCCAACACCCCTGCCCTCAGCCTCTCACGCATTACAAGGACCTTGAGACCTTTCTCCAGAAGAGTCTCCAACACAGGAGAATGCCACCAGGAATGTGATCTTATCACTTCCACTCACCCACCCAGAAGTGCCTGCCAGTAAAGTTCTTTTCAGAAAGTTCATCTTGAATTCTTTGGTGCTAGGATTCTCCTTCATGGCCAGTGTAAGAAGCGTGTGTCTTGCCCACCCTGTACATGCAGGCGACCTGCCCACAATTCTCCCCACAACCTCCACAGTCCTACAGCCAGACAGGTCCCAGGCAGATGAGCAGCCCCAAGGGCTTCCAAGCTCAACAGTGCCACAATAGGGATGAGATGGAAAAGGCCTTGCAGCCTTCCACCCAAACAGGGGTCACACCTTATGGCTCAAGTGCATCACAGCGTCAAGAGGGAAGAGTCCTTTGGGCAGCACAGATCCACGCTCAGCGGCTGAGAACCTCTACAGAGGGATATCCCCAGGAAAACCCAGCCCAAGACCCAGGAATATGGGCCAGTGAGCCCACAATCGGTCCCGCCATCCTGGCAGGCTGTGAAGAGGACTCTGTCCTCTTGTCTGGCCAGGAGGGAACTGACCAGCCCCACAGCAAAACACAGGCAGAATCCACATGGCAGGGGTGGATCCAAGTCCCCACTGCCACCACATCACAGCACCTTGTTCTCCCAATGGCACCAACGCGGCTATTGCTAGACCAAAAGACCCTGGCTTTCCCTGTGGCCTGTGAATGTGAATCGGCTTATCAGGGAGGATCGCCTAGCTGCCGGGTACACACAGAGCCTGCAGCCCCTCTATCCTGAACCTGCAAGCTGCATGTGGATACAAAGGCAGAGATATAATCCTGTATCAGATTGAGAGAAAACCCGTCTGGAGTCAGACAAGTGCCCTGGAAGGGAGGAATTTCAGAAATCCTGTAGTCCGGTTGGAAGCTCTTGTAACATCTCTCCCTGGCCAATGAGAACAGTGGGCTCAAAGGAAGCCTGAGAGGCCAAGGAGGCTTGGAGGAATTCTGTGTGTTTACCACAAAAGGAACTCAGACCAGTAACACACCCAGGCCCAAGACCCCACAGTGCTCAGGAGAACAGCTCCTGTTTTCTCCTGAAAACAGAAGCGGCCTAAAAGACTGAGCTGGCAAGTGTGTGGAGGGAGCCAGGGAGGAGGTTTCTGGTTGCCCAAAAGAAGAAAATCGGTTTAAGAGGGGGATAACCAAAGCAACACAGACCCCTCCCTCGAAAGCCCCAGCTAAAACAGAACACATTCCCCTGGGCCCCTCACCTGCCCTGTGCCCCGCCCTTCCATCCTCAGTGCCACACGGTGTGGAGTACAACACCGGCCGCCCAAACACAAGGAGCAGGGAGTCCATGCAACAAATAGGACAGAGCAGCTTCTAGCCCTCAGACAGACAGGGCAAGACTCCGTTCACATCACCTCCAGGTATCTCGGTCCCAGCTTTGTCTTCCATATCTCACACCACGGGGTACAGACAGGGTCACAGTGTGTGTGTGTGTGTGTGTGCATGGAGGGAGGAGCATAGGACATTTGATCCCAGAGGTCAGCCCAAGCCAGGGATCTCAGGATATTCACTAGAGTGTGTCCCCTAGAAAACCAACTGTTCACAAGACAAGTGTCCTTCTGCCTCAGCAGCTGTCCCTGCCTCACCAGCTCCATCCTGCTGTCACACACACACCCAGCACAGTGACACCACCCACCCAGGAGAGTCGCTGGCATGGGTTTACAGCCTTCCCTCCCCCTGGCTCAGCCGCCTCAGCCACCCCACACCCCCATCCTTCCCGACTGTTCCAGCACCTGCAGGCGCCCCCACCATACTCCCCCAGTCATCATCTGCTGTGTGAAAACGATCCTTGCCTCTGCCCCTGTCTCTGGGCAACAGGAGAAAACCCTTCCAGAAAATCCTAACACTTCTCACTGCCAGGCTACAGGCCACAGGGCAGGACTGTGGGGAAGGAGAGAGGGTGGGGGCCAGGCAGAGAACAGCATGGCACAGCAGACCCTGTGCAGTCCATCGCTTCGTGGACACCCCACTGCTTAGACACCTTGGGAGTAACAGAGGCAGGAAGGAGCGATGACCACCCCTCCAGTCCAGCCCACCCAGCCCCAGCCAGGAGTGAGCTCCACTGCTTGAGCTGCATCAGCCCTGACCAGGGAGCACCACGAGGTGAGGCAGCTGCCATCTGAAGGGAATTCACCAGGGACACATCGTTTGGAAAGAAGTTTTAGTGAGGCCGCAGGGAGCTCTTGCCTCGGGCCTCAGGCACTAGTGAGGATACACGCCATCCTCCTGCGGGGACCGAGGCGGGGTCAGCACACTGTGTGGTCCAGCGAAGAGGCAGCTTAGCTTGGGCTTCAACTCATTCCACACCTTGCTCATCTGAGGGAGAAGAGGAAGAAAACAGGGTAAGCACCTGTTTGGACCTTTGCTCCATTTTCTGATGCACCAATTCCAATTCTTTGTCCCTCTAGACATCCCATCTAGTGGCAGAGACAGGAGGGATGATGGGGGTATGTCACCTCCCCCAGGCTCCTGGTCTGCAAGTCCTAGAAGTGAGGGCAGATCGGCCCCTTCCCATTACATCAGTGGTGGCCTTCACAGAAGAAGCTAAATAAGGAGTGGACCAGAGACCAGAGGCCACAGATGGCCCCTCCCTCTGTCTCCTGCATGCAGGACCAAAAGGCCATAAACGTGCTGGACGTAAAATGTTAAGAAACATTACCGTTGGGTCATTTCCAGCACTCTCACTAACAGTTTTGCAGGCACTGGTCTTCTGGATGGCTCAGCAGGTCAAATACCAAGACAACAGCCATCCACTGAATAAAATGTGGACAGGAATAAATGGCCACCACTAGCCAAGCACGTTTGTATCCAGGATGAGGAACAGATACGATGGGCATGAGGAGGTGGGGTGCTGTCAGAGACCAACATTAGCAGTTCAGGGGCTCATGTGACGAGAGAAAACAGAGTGTGGCCCTGGGAATATGCAGACGAAGTCAAGTCACTGGATCAAAATATGTCCAGTCTCAGCATTACAAGACTGAGGGATTAGCGAGTCACGTACAATACAGAAATCTCCTAGGTCTAGGGTTGTGATCACAACCTCAAGTGGAACGCAACCCCCAACCCCACTTGTCATATACTCGCTCATTGATGTCCCCACTGGCCACCCAGGTGTCCAAGCCCAAACCTGCTCTCCTGACACGTCTCCGTGACCTGTAACAGTGAACCATGTGTGCAGTCACTTACATTTACATCTGTTCCTTCCTCTCCAGCCCCATTAACAGTAGCTCTCGGGGCAGCTCACTCATGCCTGCGGTTCCCAAACTGTGCCCAAAGGCACAGCAGATGCAGAGCAAACTCACAGGGGTACAATGGAGTATTTCAAATGTTCCAGGGAAACTCAGCAGTATTTGCCATACACTACATGAACTACTGCTCTGAGGTTGTTTGGAGCTACTTAATAAACAGACTATTAAAAGTTTATTTTGGCCTAGGGCTGCTGTGAAAAAATTACTAAGGCACTGAGAACACCAGAAACTCAAGAAAACATGGGAACTTCTCTCAAGCCATCATGATTTCTCACCTAATCTAATGGCCCTCCCATTCCAGAGCTGCCCGGGTGTCCCACTGTAGTCCTCCCATCCCAGTTGCCAGGGTGTACCATTAATGCACAGATTCCTGAGTCTCTGCCCCAGAGATTCCAACTTAGTAGGTCTGAGGCAGGCTCTGCACAGCAGCGTCTGCATTGTAAACAAACAGGTGGTTTTGGAATGACTGGTTCTAGACCAGGGTGCAGACTGGCCACTGACCTGGTCAGTTGCAATTACTTCTTGAATGGTTTGACAATCTCCATCTTCTACCCCTTTAACCTGTCCCCTCAAACTGTTGCCAGTGACCTTTCTAAACTTCAGGTCTGAGTTCATGTTACATGCTTCTTACGAAAAGCTTTCCTGGCCAGCTCCCTAGACTGGACCCCACCCCATCCCCTGGACTGTGTACAAGTCTCTATCAGAACATGAGAAGCCAGCTCCCCCCGCCAAACTGGCCTCCCTCTCTGGATTTCCTGAGTCCATATGTTCATTGGTGACAGGGCAGATATAATCCAGCTGCATGCCCAGCACCAGCAACAGACCCTGGTCAGTGGCTACCAAGCAGCAATCCCTACCCACTGAGTCCCCAGGCCGATGTTGGAAAGCTGGCAGGGTCATATTTTATAGCATTTCTCAGATAGGGAGACTGAGCCACCGAGGTCATAACAGGTGATAAGAGCCATGGAGCTGGGATGTGAGGTAGGGGTTTACATATTCCGAGCCTGAGCTCCTCTCACTGTGACAAGCAGCTGGAAGTGGCCACAGGCAGATGCTCCCCCTCTTATAAGGTGATTATGGTCCCAGTGCTAACAAGAGGCACCAATGGTCACTTGAAAAGGAAGGACAGAGAATATTAGAAAGCAGAAGGGTGTGGAGACTACACAGATGCCAGAAAAAGAAGAACTAGACAGTGACCATTTCTGAATTATTTCTTCAGCCCTGGCCAGACACGTAAGCATCTCAGACTGCTTGGAGACGGACAAACACAGCTGGCTGAGAAGGGTGTACGAAAAGCCAAAAACGTGTGCAGGCTTCTGCAGCTCTAGACTACTTGGGCCAGGCGAGTGTCGCTGCTGCTTGTGATGTCTCAGGACAAGTCACAGCACTTAATCTCCAAGGCTTAAGGAGCCACCATCTGACCAGGGGTTCTAAGAAAAATATCCAATCTATGGTATTCCCTAATTGCTCAGACTTAATTCCCACCATTTCTTCTCTGAACCTTAGGGTTCAGGAATTCTACATGCTTTACCTCTGACTTCTAGAATTCCTCCAGAAGATAAGAAATTGCTCCTTTATAGTCTCTCTACTCCTCCCACCTCCCTTCCCCCCCAGGAATCATTAGAACAACTTCACAATTATAATTTTGGCTACATATGAGACTAGCAGATCTGAACAAGAACATGCAGACCCTAACTCCACCAACTCCTAAATAATTTCTCAAGGTCAGCCAGCTTGTAGGAAGGGCAGCTGGAAAAGAAAGGCGCTGGCCCTTTCCTACAGTGGTAGGAGCAGGGAGGGGCTCACCTCCTTGTGCCCTTGGATCTGAGAGTTCACGAAGGCCCCAAGGATATGGGAGGTGAGGGGCAGGTAGACGTGGATGAGCTGTGTCTCCTGGTGCAGGCAGTATAGGGAGAAGTAGTTACGCAGCTCCATCGTCTGAATTGCATTCTCTTGCTGCAAGGTAAAGAGCCTCCCTGTGAACCTGGCCCAGCAAACGATGGGAGGGAAGAGCACCAAGGCCCACGATGACGTCCTCCCTGACGTCCTCACTCAGCCTCTTCTGTGTAGTAACCGAGCATTCAGAAAGTACCAAGGGAAGAGAGGGCCAGGACAGAGAGCACCGTGAACGGGGAGGCGTGTCACTTTGGCCAACGGGAGGCAGCTCTCCTGCCTCCACTGCACCCCAGTTCTATTCCTGGGCACACGGGCATGGACATTCCACACGCTCCTGGAGCCAGCCAAGGAGAGCCCACGAGGACAGCTCTGGGTTCAAGCCAGGGCCAGGTGTGGGAAAGACCCCTTCCCACCCCACTCACCTACAGCCGCCTTCCTGCAGCCCCTACCTCCACGATGCGGGACTCCAGCTGCTCCACGGACTCAGGCTCGCGGTTCTGCACGGCAGCACTCATCATCTGCCTCTTCATCAGGCTGTACTTGTGCAGGGCCCGCTGGTGCTTGTGCAGCACACCCTTCTCATGCCGTTCGCACAGGTCCTGCAGTGGAGCAAGATGGCACTCACCCACCATTCCCCCACACCCTCAGCAACTGACTGAAAGGGACCCCTCCTACTGGGCCAGCTTTAGATTCCCCCCCACCTCCTGGCAGGAGAAAGCATTGAAGAGGAGAGAGCAGAGGGGGCTGGAAACCCAGAGTGGCAAGGGGAGGTGCAGACTCATGGCAAATTGCTAAAACTAAATGCTGTTCATGCCCCAGTGTAAGAGGCCTTTTCAGAGAAACAGCTTTTCCTCTTCAGTAACAGCCACCCCCCACACACCCCCACTTCACACTCAGGAAAATGCTCATGAAACAGAGTAGTTCAGGTGTCAGGCCCAGACTCAAACCACAACTCAAACCACAAAGAAGTCCATCAAGCCCAATCTGAAATGCACTGATTTACACAGGGGCTCACAGCACAGACCATCACCAGGCTCCAAACCAAAAACTCACGTAAATAAACTTAGTTTAGAATTAGGAGAAATGTACAGCCCAGAGCACTGGGACGGTTCTGGACCTCAGACTCTGAATGCTGTCCAATTTCCAGAAAGCCAATGTTCCTCTAGTAGAAAAAGAACCAGTCAGCCTCTGAAAGGAAGATACACTGGCATTTACCCTAAAATAACCCCAGTCAGAAATACTGCGGGAAATACTAGCCACAGAATCATAGTGCTGGGAACTTAGAGGCCACTTGGCTATCATCTCACTCAGCAGAAGTCCCTTCTAGAACATTCCCACAAGCACTGGGCCAGCCTTCTTTGAGCTCCTCAGTACAAAGGATTTCTCTGGCCTCACAATGTGATCCACTCTATCATGGATACTACAACAGTTAGAAAGCTTCCCCTACTCTAAGCTGAGCTCTGACTTCCCGGAACCTCTACTGGCCAGGCCTTCACACACCTAAAGAGAGCTATCTCACACACTCACTCACTCACACTCACACTCACACACACACAGAGTCTCTCCTACCCAGCTCAGTCAACGCCCCCACCCTCACCCCCAACTTTCAGATCAGGGAAGTCTGTGGGAGCCACAGGCCAAAGCGCCCCAGAGCCAGCCAAGAGGAAATGATATGAGTGAGACTATGGAAGGCCCATCATCTCTCCACAACCCTGGCTTTTCGACTCTTCTTCCATTCCTCCAGAGTTACACCCTTGAAAGATCATAAGATCATTTTTTTTTTTTGGTCTTTTTTTTTCGTGTCCGGCAACGGATCGCAACCCTCAGTGTCACGCCCGGACCGGACCGGCAATGGGATCGCAACCCTTGGTGTTGCGCCCGCACCTCGCTCAGCCAGTGAGCGGGAACCGGTCTGTATGTGGGATCCGAACCCTCGGCGGGAGCGCCGCCGCACTCCCAAGCGGCGCACTGTAGCAGTGCGCCACCAGGCCGGCCCCATAAGATCATTTTTTAAAGTTCTATCCTTGACCAAGGAGCAGCTAAGACTCACTTTATAGGACTGGAGCAAATCCAAGAAAAGGTTCAATTTCTCCACCACATCATTCTCTTCCTGTTTTCCCTAGAAAACAAGGGGTGAGTTAACCAACACAGAACACACACAAGACCCAAAACTCTGCCAGGGAACTCACATCCAACCAGGCTGGGCTGGCTTCCTCCCAGAGAAAAGGCACTCCCCCAGAACTACCCAGCCAATCCTGCAGAAGAGCCCTCCCTTCTACCCACCAGTCCACCCAATAACAGGCAGAGACGCCCACGAACCCAGCAATTTTGATGGGAACAAGGGCCTTAGGTCCAGCAAGGACAGCTGCCCACCCCTGGTCTAGTTGTTCAACACTGTTGTGTCTTCCTTTTGGCTTTCCAAAGCCAACGTCTCACGCCCAACACACTCACTGGGAGAGCCAGGCCCCTCAAGCCCCTCCCCAGCAGCTCTGCCCAGAACTGCAGAAAACCTGAGTTTCTATGTGAAGCTGTGAGCTGTGTCCAAAAGGGGAAACAAATGGGAGCGATCTTGCTGGCAACAAGGGACGTCACTTCTACTTTAATAAAAGGGGAAAGAAACACAGGCCCAGGAAGTTGGGGACAGAAGGGAGGGCAGAGACTGCAGCTACAAGAAGGATACGTTACATTAAAGACATGCGTGGAGTTAAGTGAACAAAGACATTCTGGTGGTTCGGCTGACACAAGGAGATGAGAAAGGGCCACACCAGAGCAGGCAGGGAGGAGCAGGCAGACACAGGCTTCTCTCTAGCCGCTGCTCACAGCTTTGTGCATGGGCAGCACAGTGATGGAGACAAGCCGACAGGCACACAGTGAGTCTGCAGCATGAGGGCAGCCCTGGTAGTGGAATGGACACCCTGGTGATAACAGGGTTAAAGCCCTGCTTTTGCAGCCATCCACAGCACTCTGGGGACATGAGTAAGCACCACCAGCCAAACACCACCCAGAGACTGCCCCTGGCCTGCCCAGCGTAGATCCAGTAGCAGCACTCAGCAGGACACAAGGACAGACCACTGTGTGCACAGACCGACCAGTACGGATCTCAGAGGCACTCTTCGGTATTAAGAGCAGGCACCAAAGCCCTGGAGATGGCGAGTCATTGAGGGAAGACAGCAGAACAGGCATCACGTTATCTCCAGGCCCTGCTCCAGGAGCAACAGACACAGACCTGTGAGGCTCACTACAGACCCTCCCAGCATTGTCACAGCAACAAAGTATGGACCAAGTAGGCAACCAAAGTAGGTGCCCTGGGGACACCCTCCCCCAATGCTGGTACCTTGGTCATGGCCACAGAACAGCTTGTGCTCCTAAGTCACGATGGTTTGAGGAGGACCTCATGGATACTACAGTCCTTCTATAATCTAATCCCCCACCTGTTGCAGAGAGTGAAAAAGCTTATCCCATAAACTGCACAGTGAACTCAGTGCAAGGGATGTGCTGGCAGGAAGGAGAAGACTGAGAAAATATGAAGAGACAGGGAAGTTTTGTAAGAACACAAGCACTGGACTGGGAGCAGGGGCTGCCACCACCTCAGGGTATCCTGGAATGCCCCTTCCACCTTCCAGGCCTCAGGCCTGCTGAGCAAGAAAGTCCCCAGCCACTACTAAGTCCCACACCCACAGCCAACCAAGATTCCAGCTAATGAGGTTCCAGGAAAACAACAAATATGTTCATGGTTTTTAAAACTCAAAAGGAAAATGCCAGCTGTCCACAGGTGCATCATTCCCACCTGACCAGGTAGAAAGGCATAAGAAAACGGAGGCTTCTTCCCTGGTCCAGTAGATGGGGGAATTCAGGGGTCCTTCCTGCACATGCTACCAGCCACCAAGCCCCATTTATGGTTCAATGCCACACAAAACCCCAAACCATTAATGTGTGCACTTTCAACAAAGGCACATGATCCATCACCATAGAGAAAACAGACCCTCTATTTTGATCCTCACTTGTCTTTCTGAGATATAGTTATTTACAGCTCCTTATAGGTCTAGAGAGAATAAAACTAGTATAAGTAAAAACAGAGTTAGGAAAAACAATCCTAGAATGTCTTTACTTGTACTACAAGGGTAAAATGGAATTTTAGCTGTATCAGTTGAAAGTCCTGATGGGTTCTTTGATCCAGTTTCATATTAAAACTATTAATTTCACTATAACCAAGGACAGTGAGGAATATTCAGGAAACGTACTTCTCTAGACAATAAATTTCAAAACAGAGTTCATGAAATATCAAAGAATCACAAAGCTGGGAAGAACCTCAAACTGCAAACTTCTACCAAATCAGAAGCCTGAACCTTTTCTCACTCTTCAAGGTGGAAACACAGCATCCAAATCTGAATCAGAAAAGACCTTGGGGGCCGGCCCGGTGGCGCACTGCTATAGTGCGCCGCTTGGGAAGCGCGGCGGCGCTCCCGCCGAGGGTTCGGATCCCACATACAGACCGGCCGCTCACTGGCTGAGCGAGCTGCGGGAGCAACACCGAGGGTTGCGATCCCGTTGCCGGTCCCGGTCCGGTACGGGCGCGACACTGAGGGTTGTGATCCGTTGCCGGTCACGAAAAAAGACAAAAAGGAAAAAAAAAAAAAAGACCTTGGAAATCAGCTAACTAGTGATTTTCATCCTGTGCTCTGCAGGATCCCCAGGGATTCTTGGAGCCCCTGCTGGGGGCTACCTACTGAAGAGGTAGCTGAGTGTGGCAGGGGTCTGTGTCCCCGCAACTACAACCAGAACAGCTTTGCTTTTACATTTTACACACCAAGCTTGGGGAAAAGGTTCAACGGGCTTAAAAAAAAAAAAATTCTTTTAATGATCTAGTCTAAGCCTCCTGTATTTAATTGATGCAGAAAGTAAGGCCCAGAGACCAAAGTAACTTGAGCAAGGTCACGGCACAGAGCGCAAAGTGCAGAGCAGGCTGCCCCAGGCCCTACTGCCTTTCTATCCCATCAAGCCCCCCAGCACCACTTCCTTGGTCCTCTCCACGTTGGAAAGGTGGGCAGTCAGACATGGAAGTGGAAGGGACCCAGTGCCAGTGGAGAGACACCATCACTGCCCTAAGCTCAGTTTCTAAGGGGAACACAAAAGGCACAGGGTGCAGAAGAGGAAGAAAACCCAGGGCTTTCCATTCCAGCAAAGAGATCAAATTCCATCTTTAACATGAAAACATGGGCATCTGAGAGTGCCCAACCTCCAGCATGAAAAGTCCCAACTCCACAACAGGTGAATCTACCACATACCAAGTAACTAAAGAGCTTCACGTTTCAGGAAGGAAGCACGGCCTTAACAAATACAGTATTTTAATTCATTTAAGAATATCTACTAGCAGCTTAAAGACCATTTTCCCAAGAAATAGGCAGCAAGCTTTCACCCTCAAAATTATGTAACATTCTGGGGCCGGCCCGGTGGCGCACTGCTACAGTGCGCCACTTGGGAGCGCGGTGGCGCTCCCGCCGAGGGTTCGGATCCCACATGCAGACCGGTTCCCGCTCACTGGCTGAGCGAGGTGCGGGAGCAACACCGAGGGTTGCGATCCCGTTGCCGGTCCCGGCCCGGTACGGGCACGACACTGAGGGTCACGATCCGTTGCCGGGCATGAAAAAAGACAAAAAAAAAAAATGTAACATTCTGATAAATAGCACCCACTTAAACCTTTAAATTTAATGGTAAACACTGCATCTTCAAATTAATCTCAAATGACTACAAAATTCTTTGCGGATTTCTAAAATCAGCTCCAACCTATACAGCAGAAGTACTTCCTGAGGATAACTGGGTGTCAAGCGTAAAAAGGGCAGGGAGTCTCCTGGGGTGCTGAGAGCTTAGTTATTATTCTGATGAGTTAGTTACCGTGTGGCAAATACTAGTTGACTCAGAGAGCAAAATGGGAACTATCTGGTCCACCCAGAAGTATCCTTAGAAGTCCAAGATTACATTTTCAAGGACAGATTCTCTCTTCTTATCTCAGCAAAGTCAACACTCAAAAGACCAGAACCCGATTTGTTTTTGTTACTGGCAACCATCTCAAAAGTGTAAATGGCTCAGGGGAGCCACCCAGAACAGATGGGGACTGGCAGTTCCCACCCAGGGAACAGGTGCTCACTCACTCAAGACTCAGAACTTTGAAGTCGATCTAAGACAGAGGTGCTCCCTCATGCCAAGGTATAGAATGTTCTCTGGAACAGGTGCCTGCAGAGAACAAATCCACTCACCTGTTGTGCAGCCTTGTCGGCGAGCAGTGCAAACTCCACAGACAGGCCTTTCAGAGCCTGCTTAAGGGACCCCCACGTGCTGCTGTTCAGAGTGGCCCAGGAGGGCAGGGGGGTTGTGTCAGAACCTAAAGCACTAAGGGAAGCAAAACACACACAGGAGAGGAAACACTCAAGGCCTCGAGCTCACCATGCAGTCGAGGCTAATATCCCCTTTTGCCACAGATTCATGGCCCTAAATACCAAGTCATCCCACAGCACCTGCGTGGCTCCTACCCTAGACCCCTCTACTCAAAGAGTGGTCCATGGCAAAACCTGGGAGTCGGTGAGAAAGGTAGGATCTCAGGCCCCACCCCAGACCTACCGAATCAATTCTTCCCAACAAGACCCCAGTGATGTGTGCACATGTAAGTTTAGACTGCCGAGGAGAGCAGAGTGCTGGCGCCAGGTCTGGTCTCTCCTCTAGCATAAAGGAAGCATTACTAGTCCACGGTCTGTTCTTTCCCAAGTCGAATGAAAATCTAATCCTGACAATGGGAAAACTTGGAAATTGACAAATTTACTTGTATTCAGGAATCCACATTTCTCTGCCTAAATTCTCCACCTTTTTTCTTCTAAATATTATGCCACATTTGCCTGACCCATTTTCTTCCCCTTTTGGAGTGAAACAGGTCAAGATGATGGTTATTACAGTAAACACACTTTCTGCTCCAAGCCTGCCACCGGTCTAAAGATTCCCTCCCCACCTAACTCACCCCTACAGAATTTGAAAGGGTCACCTGCCTTAACTCCTTCCCAAATATAAGAAGATCCGCAGCATTGTCGATGGCCCTCGATGCAATCCGTTCAGCTCTATCACGAAGCTTATAAAAGCTATTGTAGATATTTCGAATCAGCTCCCGGCTAACAGCAAATTGAGTCTGGATGTCAGCTGGGAGGAAGTCCTGCCAGAGTAAGAGAGAAACTGTGGATAACCAGACCTGAAACGCCTTTCAGAAAACAGCAGCTGATCACCCAAAAGGTGATCAACAGGAGACTGAACAACTCCATCCACGTGAACAGGTAAATGAGACCAAACTCCAAAGCCAGATCCTGTTAGAGACCACCATGAACCCGCTGCCCCTTCTCCACTGCCTGCACTGGATCTCTCTTCTTGTCCAAAAAAGAGAAACTAATATCATTTGTACACTGCAAATGTTAAGACAAATGATGCCATGAGATTATGATTACAGGATCCACTGGATTTTTTTTTTTTTTTTTAAAGATGACCGGTAAGGGGATCTTAACCCTTGACTTGGTGTTGTCAGCACCACGCTCACCCAGTGAGCAAACCGGCCATCCCTATATGGGATCCGAACCCGTGGCCTTGGTGTTATCAGCACCGCACTCTCCCGAGTGAGCCACAGGCCGGCCCCTGGATCCACTGGAATTTGATCAAATGGCAGATCCTATCAAAAAAACATTCAAACAATAATCTCCAAGCTTGACACGACGAATGTAAATTCCTGAAAGGCTCTTCACACGAAGGGAACGCCTCCTGTATTCTTCATCTAGTCCCAAAGACTTTTTACAAGCTTTAACATTAACTATCAATGCTTAGAAAACAGAAAGCTCAGGGAATAAAATGAAGGTAAAAAGTTCTTTATTTTTATATGGAAGGGCTGGCCCATGGCTCACTCGGGAGAGTGCGGTGCTGATAACACCAAGGCCCCGGGTTCGGATCCTATATAGGGATGGCTGGTTAGCTCACTGGCTGAGCGTGATGCTGTCAACACCAAGTCAAGGGTTAAGATCCCCTTACCGGTCATCTTTTAAAAAATAAATAAATAAATAAATAAATAATTCTTTATTTTTAAATGGAGAAGCAGTTTTTTTTTTTTTGTCTTTTTGTCTTTTTCCG